CCGGGGAGCCCGCGACCCTGCTCCGGTGCTCCCCCTAACCTAATTTCTGAGGGGCATTTTTGTCCCTGCGAGTTTGGTTTTTTCCTGGCCCGCCGTAGCCCAAATTCAAGCCCTGTCTAGCCCTATACAACCCAGACCACATACGTATAGTACCCTCGTCCGAAAAAAAAACATCACACGACCCCACGACCACGTAAGACCTGCTGGATCCAATCATTCACACAGCTCCATCAATCTCACGAGCATTCACGCAGCTCCATAATTCACGCAGTAGATCTCCAGTGGCGCGCGTCTATCTCGTCGCCGGCGATCTCGTCGGACAGCGGGCGCGGCAACGTCATGAATCTCCAGCGCTCACAGGTACTGCATCCCGCATCCCCCCGCATCCCTCTAGTCTCGCTCGCGGAAACATCGAACGAACTGCCACCGTCATAGGTAGTGGTTAACCTAGCGGGGCGGGTAACCTACCTACCCGGCGGCGCATGCGATCGTGGATCTTGTACCGGTAGTGCCGCTCCTCGTGATCTGTGTTTCTTTAGTGTAGGGTTCACGTAGCGTCGGTTGCCGTCGGCTGTGTCCATCAGGACTATCATTATTTGATGTGGCGGCTAACCTAGTTATCCGGTGGCAGAGGTAATCACAGATCTAGCTAGGTTTTGTAGTGCTGCTCCTCGCGATTGAAAGTGATCACGAGGGTGCCGTGGTCATCTTCCTGACTTGGTTTGGCACATGTGAATGGATTTACATAACATCCGTGATCGTGTGCTATGTGTTGATATTTCTTCATTGATAATGTTTTCACATGTGTTGATACATATTATTTGTTGTAGGAAATGGCGGACGAGGAGTTAACTGATATGATGGTAGACATGGAGTTTGGAGAACTGATGAAAGACTGGATAGAAGATTGGTCAGATGATGAAAATTCAGATCTTCGAGATCAGTCAGAGAATGGGAACGAATGGGAAAATTTTAATGTGAGTGGCATTATCATGTTGTAATTTTTTGGTGCCATCCGACAACATTTTATTTTTGTGTTGAAAATTTGTAGATGGATGTGCATGATGATGGCCAGGAAAACAATTCGGAGCTCTCAAATGAAGATTACATTAGTCAGGTACGTAAGTGAAATTTTTTATTGGCATGCAAATTGAATTCATTCTGAAATATTATATGATAAGTAATTATGTATTTGTGTTGTATTTTTCAGTTCATTTCCGAATGTCATAATGCGTACGACTATTACGGTGAATCCGACGCGGAGCCAGGCCTTAACGACGAATCATTAGATGCACCTGATTCTGGGGATTCGCAGTCGTCGGTCATCATGAGTGAGGTATTTGTGTAATCAATGTTCTATGAAAGTAATGTTAAACCATAGAAAACTGTTTTCATGGCTATGTTTTGATTGTGTAGGTGACAGAAGATGATGGGGCAAAGATTGTCCAAGATACTGCCAGTGTAGATGATAAGAGGGATATGTTCATGCAGATAATGGAAATGACTTTTATGTCTCACGATCTTGCGTATGATTTCTACAACATCTATGCTAGAGTTAATGGTTTCAGCATTAGAAAGAATAAGGTCAGGTATAGCAAAACCGAGTCACATCATATGCGTTATAGGCGGTTTGTTTGTTCCAGACAAGGGGAACGTGACAGCAAGTTGCTAACCGAGGAAGGACACAGCCGTAGGCTCAGAGCCGAGACACGCTGCTTTTGCGAAGCACACCTGACCGTCAAGCTTGACCAAAAGCGTGGGCTTTGGTATGTTGCAAGTTTTGAGGACAAGCATAGCCATATGTTGGCAGGACCGGACGAGGTACCTTTTCTTTGGTCCCATAGAAAAATCAAAGAGTACCAGAAGCATGAGATAATGTCCATGGGAGCTGCAGGGATTAGAATTCACGACATGATGGATTCCTTCATCAGCAAACATGTATGGTATGGCGGTGTTGGTTTTATCAGGCATGAAATATACAACCTTTGCGCCAGGGAGAAGACGAAGCTGCTTTCAAAAGGTGATGCTTCCACAGCCATAGGCATCATGGCTAGTAGGAAATAGAGGGATCCTAGCTTCTTTTTCGAGTACAAGCTAGATAAGGAAGGACACTTGAATATGATGTTCTAGTGTGACTCCCGGTCTCGTCATGACTATGAGGACTTCGGCAACGTGCTTGTATTTGACAGCACGTACAAGATGAACCGCTATGGTATGCCATTCATACCTTTTGTTGGTCTTAACAATCACCGGAAGACCACTGTTTTGGTTGTGCTATAGTTTCGGACGAGACCGAACAGACATACGTGTGGCTGCTGCAGACTTTTTTGAGGTCCATGTGTCAAAAGATGTCGAAGAGTGCAATCACAAACACCGACGCTGTGATGATCAAGGCAATTCGCGAAGTCTTGCCAGACGTGTGGCACCGTATATGTATGTGGCATATAGAAAAAAAATGAAGATTCACCTCAGTCACAAGGCATTGAAGGAGTTCCGAACTCTTCTGTACTATAGCACGTCCACGGCCATGTTTGAGGAGTGATGGCACGCGTTTTCCAAAAGATGGCAGTCGGAAAGAACTGTAACATGGTTGAGACGGATGTATAAGAAGAGGATACTGTGGGCCGCGGCTTATCTGATAGAGGGGTTTTGGCTTGGCATGAAAAGCAACTAGCAGAGTGAAAGCCTGAACTCATGCCTTCACCTCCACCTAGACGGTGAAATGACCCTGGTGGATATGATTTTGCATTATGAGAACGCCGTTGTACGTATCCGTGAAAACTAGGCGCGAGATGACTGCACGGCCTCACAGAGTTTACCGGTGCCAGTTACTAGCTTGAGGGAACTTGAGATAGCTGCTTATCACGTCTTCACTCCAGCAAACTTCTATATGTTGCAAGATGATCTTAGAAAAATTGATGGCATGGAGATTGTAGAAATTAAGCTGGGAGACGGATCACATCAGTACATCATGGCCTGGAAGAATAACCGGAAGAGCCGATTTTGGGTCCACCAGTAAATTCCGCAGAACCTATACGGTGCAGCTGCAGAAGAATGAGTAATTCGAAAGGGTCTACCTTGCAAGCACATATTCCATGTACTGAAGTACTTAAACATATCTGAAATACCAAAGTGTTTAGTTCTTGTTCGATTCACCAAACAAGTAAGGTTGGGACTGCCCGTGAGGCGCACAAGCGATCTGTTGGGATTTGGTTGGACTAGGGCAGGGGAAAGAATGAAATATAGCTAGGTCAGTGTGTTAGCATCAGAAGCTATGCATGCGGCATGCAAACACCCAGCTTTGTGGGATCAGTTACAGGATAGTTTGAAGGCAGTGATAGCTAAGAGTGATGAGTATGATCTGCTACAGGAAAATTTGAGCAAGAATACAAATGACTTCAGTAAGTGTGCAGTTGAATATGTAGACGATAGTGAAGGCAACATGGTCACAGTTAAAGATCCTATGAAAGTGTCAAGAAAAGGTGCAACAAAGGTAGATGAGAACCGCCCTATCTGGAAAAATGGTAGACCACTCTCTCTTGATGAGTTGAAAACCCGGTGCGGCGCTTGCAAATTGCTAGGACACACTAAACGTAGCAAGAAATGCAAACTAAATCAGAAGTAAGTGTTTGCATGCATTGTGGACTATTAAAAAAATGATCATTCATTAACTTATCTTGTCTTTTATGATGTGCAGAAAAGTGGAGAAGGAAGAAGAGTAGAACATTTGCTTCAATTTTTTACGGATGAATCGAGTGAACAGGACAATATATCCTTTTCACATTATGGCATCAAATTTAGTTCGACGTTTAACATCGAGTGTTTGGTTCCAGTATATTGTAGCAACTCGATCGACATTTTATTTAGTGGGAGTGTCAACCTTTTACATCTCTAAATAAACAACAAACTCCGACCTAAATAAATTAGTTATACATGGTAGAAAGAATATTGTACATTTCCCCTCCGCACGTCCTAACTGCCATTAAATAAGTAACTTACCACTCCCCACCACACATTCACCCACCTACCACGCGCACCGGTTCGAACTCCCCTCTTATCCCCACTTACAGTAGATCGAGAAAACCCTCGCTGGCGACTGCTGCAGCCGCCTCCATGGAGAAAAGCCTCGGCTGGCAGAGAGCGATGATGGAGCTCGCCGGAGATGATGAGGGGTGGCGAGCGCAGTTGACGGAGGTGTGCGGCTGGTTCCCCAGTACGGAGATGTTGGTCAACCACGCGAGTGGCCTCGTCAAAGTCCTCACCGACGTCGAGAAGAAGTGTGCCTTCCCCTACGGCCGCGGTGTCCCACCGGCTCTCCTACTCGTCTGGGCAATGCAAGAGGCCATGCTGACCGACTCCCCTGTTCAGCGCACAAGGTGGTGGATGTATCGCTCCACCACCATGATGCTGCGGCCAGATCCAACACGCGTGGCGTCGAGGGTGGAGCGCGTCGACGTCGAGCTCGCTCTCCGTGCGCCCGTCAGCCCGGACTACCAGGTCCGCCACGTGCCGAAGCTAGTCCTGCC